AGTAGGTCACTGGTTCAAGTCCTGTCTGGACCATTTGGCGTTTTTGTGTGGAGTTTGGATGTTCTCACTGTGTTCGCATGCGCTACAGATGACTTGAATAAATTAAATTGTCCGAAGTATATGGGTGTTCCCCAGTACTGGGTTGCATCTGCTGCATGAAACATAAGCTGAAATAGTTGGCGGTTTATTCCACTGTAGAGACCCCTAATAATCAGGGATAAGCCGAAGGAAAATAAATTAATAAATGATGAATGTTTGTTCACTTTATTAACATGTGACCCAATAGTTTAGGAAAACTATTCAAAGTATTCATGTAATCTTAAAAGAAATATTGCTGAAGTATAAATATTTAGGATTTAGAATTGACTATCTACGGTTAAATTCAAATTTAAAGCATGAAAAAAAATAATAAATTACTAAAATAATCCCCAAAATAGTCATGTTTAAAATAAATAAATAAAATGAAGATGTTAAAACAAAAACTTTAAAAAGCAAATTCTGTATATTATTTTAGACTATAAAAGTTACAGTTTTTCTCCATTGGTTTGGCTCATTTCTTGAAACGGAAATTAACATTCTCAAAACAACCTGGACAAACCTTCAAACCCCTTGGCAAGTGTTGAAAACAAAATTGAATTTCTCATTCATTTCATCAAATCGCAAATGTCTAAGTACATCTTTGCAAATAGTTAAGTACAGATAGCCGACATTTATCACAATTTCCAAATGAATAGATCTTGTTGATCTAAACTGATTGTTAGTTCTCAGTCTAATGGTTGTTTTCTCCAAAATATGTCAACGTCATTTTATTGTAATTCATTACATGCACAATGGTCTGTTTTTAGTCAAGACCATAATACCATGAACACCATGGTGAATCCTTGAAACATTTGATTACAATTTATTATGGGTGTTTATTTTTTATTTGATAGATTTTTGCTTTGATATATTTAAGTTACTTTGTGTGTGGTTGATCATTACAATAAAAAAGGAGTTACCATTCCCTTGGCAGTATGAGTGCAATGTGTGATGTCAAAACTTGGAGGCTACTCTTACCCTAAAATCCTATTTCTTTTATTTATTTATTTATTTTTTTTTTTTTGTTTTATACACAATTGTATTCTGTTAGCTAGACAAAAACAGTACAGTAACTATTGTCAATGAAGGACAGGGCTAAGACTGTAAAGTGGACATGAGGGATATTTTAGTGGTCCTTTGCCATAAAGACAAAACATCTAAACATTTTGACTTGCAGTGCTTGCACAATGCTAAAGGGACGAAGCAGTTTTGGGGCGCTGACTGTTTTTAAATGAGAAGGAAATTTAGTTTTAACACATGAGTGAACTGTTTTGGGAAAGGAATGAGCTTTTGCAAGTGAGCTTTAGTGTTGTGCTAAACTGTAAGTGTTTTGCTAAATGATTTTAGAATTTTGAGAATGTAATTCCTGTTTCAAGAAATAAGTCAAACCATTGGAGAAAAACTGTTGTAACAAGACAGACCATCCAAGTTTTTTTTTTTGTTTTTTGTTTTTATTTAGATTTGGAGCAGACGGAAGGACGGACGGACGGACAGACAGACAGACAGACAGACAGACAGACAGACAGACAGACAGACAGACAGAAAGACAGACAGACAGACAGACAGACAGACAGACAGACAGACAGACAGATAGATAGATAGATAGATAGATAGATAGATAGATAGATAGATAGATAGATAGATAGATAGATAGATAGATAGATAGATAGATAGATAGATTGATAGATTGATAGATTGATAGCTTAAAAGTGCTAAAAAATATTAAGAGTGTTTACTATTTTATTTTAATTTTATTAATTTTTTTCTCTTTTATTTTGCTGTAATTTTTAATATCATGCCGCAGCAAAGATATTATATTTCAAAATCTGCAATACGTTACCAAACAGATGACAGAGTTTTGGGTGGTCGGACTTATGTGTTTAAGAATAGCGATAACGTGAAGGATGTTTACTCCCTCATGACACAAACCAGGAGATTTGCAGCTCGCTCCCAACAAAGACAAAGTGAGCCAATTTAAGCATCTCAGCATAAAATAAACAAGCATCTGTGCTCCTTGAGAAAGAACATGTCGTAAGATATCAATCTTCTTCAGTTTCTGTTCTTCCACACTTGACTCATTAATACTGTAAGACGCCATTTAAACTGAGTAGTCGAATGTACAGTTTCTAAATGATGCAAACTTTCTGAACTACATCAAAACATTACTGTGGTTCTGCTTTATTATTATACCACTGTAAAAATTGGGGTTGATTTCAATGGTTAAAAAACAGTTAAAAATCTGTAACCTGGTTTACTGTTAAAGAATTTGACTCAACCTAAAACAGTAAGGCAACTTGCTGCATAGCTTTTTTGAATTGGATTAAAAGTTGAGTCAACTCAAAATGGCTGTGCAGCAAGTTGCCTTACAATTTTTTTAAATTTAAGTTGAGTCAACCTTTTATTTTTTACAGTAAGTTTCCTTCATATAAATCGTAAATTACTGTGGTTATCAGTTTTCAGTTTTACATACTGTAATGTTTATTGCATTACTTTAATTTGATGTGTTTTACCATGATGGTGTTTAGTAGTTGTGTGGATGACAATGAGCATCTTCTATTACTTTGTGTTGAGCATTAGTTCATGATATGATTTTCTCATCAAGACATGCTTATGGTTATGTTTTTTTTTCTCTGTGTAACAAAAATTCAATATGTAGATGTTAAGTACTTCAACCAGCCTGATCTCATGAGGAAATGTAACTATTTTATTGTCAGAAAAGTGGCCAATTTGTACAATTTCATACAATTTCGTTCATAAACCCCATACCTTACCCTGTTCCTCATTGTTGGATGAGCAAATTGTACTTATATGTACAAATAAATACAAATTAGCCACTAAATCAACAATTTCCATGAGAATGCATTGGTATAACTTTAAGTTAATGGAATTAATGGAATATAATTACGGTTTCTATATAACATATTTTTAACTGTAAAATTCTGGCAACCACTGATGAATTTTTTACCATAAATGTTACAATTTTTGTCACATAGAATTTTATAAAAGATCAATTGAAAGCATTTTTATTATCCTCCAATAAATAGACATCTGTTACAGTGATGCAATGATAAAGTGCACATTTCAAACAATCATTTGGACATCAAATGTCTCTTTCGTAGCAGGTATTGTGGAAGAAAGAAATAATAATCAGGCACATTGTGGATGGTTTTTTAATGAGATCCATATTCAATTTAATATGTTCTTTGATACTAAAATGGTTAATTTCTGTCTATGTATTCAGCCAAACATAAGTTTCCCCAACACATATGTAAACGGTAAACAGAATTATTAGATATTTAAGGCATTCAACTAAATATTCATTCCTTTTCTGATCTTTTTTAACTTTCTTGATTAATACAGTAAATAATAGTTTTGAAGATTTCAGCAAAGAGGTTTGTGGAGCTGCACAATTGCATGCAAGAAATGTCTTACTTTTTTACCTCTTCTATGCATAACTGACAACATTAAAAACTTAAAATAATTCAATAAAAATTAACTAATGGAACTTTTGCTGTCAGCTTTCATTTTTAATTTTCTAGACTTCAAATTGAGCTTGAATTATGATCTAGTCATATTTTACAGTAAAGCTTTTCTGTATGTATCTGCTTTTGTTCTTTTTTTAGCTGCTAAACTGCATTAATGTGTCCAGACATTTTAGTTACACTTCAAAAGTATGAATGTACATCCATAGATGTCAAAAATCAAGTCAAATGGCATTTATTTAAAAATATTAGGAAAAGCACAAGCATATTTGACATAAATTAGTAACATAAGTTTGTAAATACATTAATATCTTAAAACTAGAGTTGCACTGAAGTAAAAATTCTGAATTTGAACACTGAAACTGAAAATCCTGGATCCGCTTGGCTGTAAATAAAAACCCAAACCAAAACTGCTTGTAGTATAAATGTATTATTTTAAAAAATGAAAAGACTTTTTAAATTAAACTCAACACATTATATTGATTTAAAAAAAACACAAGCTAAAAAATATCCAGATTGTTTTTGGCAGAAAGTTTTTATTGCAATTTTTATTGCCATGACAGCACAGTAGTGCTATTCCAAGCAGCAGGAACAAGTACACTACATCTAAATGTCTTGTCATTGGCATATTTTCAGGCATTTTTCACTTTTAACCAAAATGAAAATGCCTTTTTCGGCAGCCTAATATTCAGTGCATCTCTACTTAAAAATATATAAATATAGTCAATATCTGCAAAATATACCTGGCTTTAAAAAATTGGTCTAAAATTATGTGTTAAAAATGCCATGTGGTTTGATATTAATTATCTATTGCATTCAGACATTTATGTGTACTATTGTTTGTGTTATTTAAATTTGGAATGCACAATCAATACCATCGAAAGGCCAGAGATCTAAAAGATTTTTTTCTATGTTTTGGAAGTCTCTGATGTTCACCAAGGGCACATTTATTTGATTAAAAATACAGTAAATTGGTAATGTTGTGAAATATTCAATTTAGAGTTCTGTTTTAACATATTTTATAATGGAATTTATTCTGTGATGGCAAAGCTGAACTGTGATCTAATGTGCCAAAATAAACAACCTGTCATAGAGCCATAAAACATTTTTAAAGATCATTTTATGGACGGAAATGCCAAAGGAGCATTATTTTTATGCTTCTAAATGCCTGAACTCTCACTGTTTTGATCCATGTAATGCATCCTTGATGAGTAAAAATATGACTTTCTTCATAATGTGGATTATCTATTCACAGATCATTCTCATATTCCTTCATGTCAAATCATGGGGAAGCCATCCAAAACATTCTTCACAACTCAAATAAACGCTTGTGTGTTGAATACCAGTCAATATATTGTAGTCCCAGGTTTGGGTTATTTCTGCAGTTACTTAAATAAATGTTCCTAAGCCTCATTGTCTCTGGTATCTGATGTCAAAAAGTCATTGATACTGGGTCTGATATTCCCCATTTTCATAATGATTTGATTCGTGATCGTCTTCAGCCTGCATGGTCACCCCTCTCTTTTTCTTCCAGCCTTGTTTGCGGCCTGATGAGTTGTCTGTGGTTCCATAGGTCTTCTGTCTGGTTGCCAATCCGCTGTCGCTGCTGGGTTCAGTTTCATCTGCAAGCTCATCTTCACCAATGATGCCGCACTTCTCATCACTCGTGTTCTCTGGATCAGCCCAGTCCTGCTTCTCTCCAGACGCAAAGATAGCGTAGAAAATGACTCCAGTGTAATGCACCATGGAGGCGATCACGAAGACATGCTGCCACTCCAGGCGAGTCTGTTAAAGACAGAAATGTCACGAGGATATCAGTGAACAAAAATGGTACAAAATTTGAGAACAGAAGTCACTGATTAAAAAAACGCCTTATTCTGACATTTTCTCTTTTATCTAAAGTTAAACAGTTGAATTTGACAATTTTTTAATCCATTCAGACAATCTCTGGGTCTGGCACAAGCACTTTTAGCTTAGCTTAGCTTAGATCATCGATTTAGATTCAACTGTAATATTAAGCTTTTTCTTCATTTTGACATTCCAATAATTCCTGGCGCTACGCAAATGTCATTGGCTAGCATTTGCATTGGTATTTGCATAAAGCAATCTGACTGGATGAGGCCTCTAATGCTTGAGATGTTAAATGTTTTCAACTTTTGCAGTTATTAACGGAGGCAACGCAACTCAATGAACTCACAATTCAGCTTGACAGCACTTAACATCACTCCATTCAAAATCAATGGAAAGCAGTAACATCGACGACCCATGTGAACAGGGCACAAAGGGTTAATTTAGAGTTAATTTGGGCATTACAAAAATGTACTTTTTAAAAAACATTTGCATCCATATGACAACATTGTAAAAAATGATTGCTGTTTTGACTGATCCTGTAAACATTGTACACTACCTGACAGAAGTCTTGTTGTCTATCTAAGTTTTAGAAACAACATATATATATATATATATATATATATATATATATATATATATATATATGTAAATAAAATAATAGCAAGACTTCTAGTTGATCATTTGGTATCAGAAGTGGCTTATACAGTATGAAAGGCAACTGTCTCCAGATTATGCTTATTTTATCAAAATAAAATATGATTATGCCTTGATTTTTAATTGTTTTATAAGGACAGTAAAGTCTGACTTTGCTTAGACAAAAGTCTTGTAGATATAGAATATAAAGTCATGGTTCAGTGGAAAAAGAATTAATATGGTGTATGACTTCCATGAGCTTGTAAGACTGCATCCATACATCTCTGCAATGACTCGAATAACTGATTAATAAAGTCATCTGGAATGGCAAAGAAAGAGTTCTTGCAGGACTTCCAGTGTTCATCAAGATTGTTTGAATTTAACTTTAATGCCTCCTCCTTCATCTTATCCCAGACATGCTCAATAATGTTGATGTCTGGTGACTGGGCTGGCCAATTGTGGAGCACCTTGACCTGCTTTGCTTTCAGGAACTTTGATGTGGAGGCTGAAGTAATAGAAGGAGCACTATCCCGCTGAAGAATTTGCCCTCTGCTGTGGTTTGTAATGTAATGGGCAGCACAAATGTCTTGATACCTCAGGCTGTTGATGTTGCCACCCACTCTGCAGATCTTTTGCACGCCCCCATACTGAATGTAACCCCAAACCATGATTTTTCCTTCACTAAACTTGACTGATTTGGGGGAATCTTGGGTTCATGCAGGTTCTGATAGGTCTCTGCAGTATTTGTGGTGATTGGGATGCAGTTCAAGAGATGATTCATCTGAAAAATTTACCTTCTGCCACTTTTCCAAATGATTAACTAGAAGTCAAGGTATTGTTTGTTGTTCTTACAACTAGGATCGATGACAAGACTTTTAGGTAGTGTATTATGTTTACTAGGCAAGATGGCTATATATGTTGGTATATACACATACAACATATTATTCTACCAAAAATAACACTTTTTTTCTGTCTGTTCACAGTATTATCTGAATTATGTAGAGATAAATAAAAAAATTCCCTCTGTAAATATATTTGACTTTAATGTCAAAAAACTATGTTTATTCTGACATTTACCAATGTCCATATGTTTTTGGAAGAAGTGTAGAAATGTATACAAATTAAAGCATACAGCATATATCAAACCAATTTTTTCACAATTCTTTATGTAATATATCAGCTAGAAAAGTATGGCACTAACAATTACTGACCTGCAGTGTCTTTCCCTAAAAACCTATTTTAAACCCATACCGTAGAGTCACTGAGGATATTAATAAGGATGCTAATACATTTCATGTCATTTGTTTAAATAAACAAATACCCTTACCTATAGAAGTAAAATGACTAGAAGGAAGCTATTTGCAGGTGTTAGTATGGTAGCTAGTGTAGTTTTCTATCTGATAAAGTGATATACCTTATGTTTGGTCAGTGCACCAACGATGAGGGGGCAAACCATGCCAGAGAGGGTGCCCACTCCATTAGAGATGCCCATAAGAATACTAGCATAGCGAGGAGCTATATCCAGATGGTTTACGTTGAATCCTGTGTTGAAAAACAGATGTATTTTTTACAATTTTTTCAAAATATCTTATATTGCACATTGTAGCTTATTATGGATTTGATACTAAGGAATTGCATGTATTTTATACAGTTTTATATATGTGCATTATTAAAGCTGGCCATGAAGTATGAATGCAAATACTTTTCATTTTATCCTATTTTCAAGAAAAGGTTTGAATCAATCACAGCGAAACAGCATAAAGGATAATGTGACTGACTCCTGTCTCCTGTGTCACCTGATATGGCAAATCCACTGAAGCCCACTGCCAGGATGAGGAAAGAGATGGCCACTGCGCGAGTGTGTGAAAAGCCCACTACCAACAGCAACGTGGCCTCCATTCCAAAACCTGGGGACAATGGTAGGATCAGGCATCTCATACATGTGTTTAAAATGTTTAAACAAGTATAAAATACCTCTCTTTTTCAACCCTTTTCACTGCCCTGCAAGCTTTACATGTTTTTAATCATTCTGTGTGAATGGCCTCTTAAAGTCGGTGAGCACAGAAGCATTTTTCACTCCAATTCAGTTTCATTTTTTTCTGTAAATGTGCCAGATAGACAACCATGGCTTGCTGATTTTATTTATTTTATTTTTTGGTGTTGCATGAATTTTCAAAACACCAGTTTTAAGTGTAACCTTTAAAAAAAAAAGTATTTATGAACTATCTGTGTCCATTGTATAAATGTGTGTTTTATGGTGCATTTACAAAAGAAAATGTTTTCTACCTTAAGAAACTGAACCGGTCTTACTGCAAATTAACAAAAACAAAAAGAAATAGTTGTTGTAGTTAAAACACGGTAAACATAAATTTAGCATTGGTTTTGCTACACCAACTATAGTTTAACTGTTTTATTTTTCTCAAAACTGTGGTTATATAAAAGTTAATCAGTGCGTCAAAAGATTACATGGTTGCTACACACTTTTACTACAATGTAACCATGGTTAATTTTTTGATACAGGAAAAAAGTTAGGCCTTTTGACAACATTGTCAAAATCTGCAATCGTTGAATGTTTGCATGGATCAAGTAGTTGGTAATGATGCTATTTGATAAGCAGAATACATTTGTACACATCTTGTGGTAAGCAAATGTTGTTTTGTTTTTCAGGTACTCACAGATGCACATATTATACAATGCAAATACCAGATTTACTGATTTCACAGATTTTTATACTCTCTAAAACTTGCTTGGATGTTTCAATCCAAATTTGGGTAAAATATTGGCACATCACCAGCTAGTTTATTTTATTTTATTTTTAAATGTCTTCAAAATTCAGTCTAATTTAAGGTAAAATTGTTTCTCACATTGTTTAGAAGTGAGAAATACATTTTCAGCATTTATGTTTTCAGGCACCTAAAATGTTTTAGTTGTGTAAATTAATGACCAAAACAAAACTTGTTTAGCATTTTTAGTTGTGCAAATGCCCCTTAATTATTTTTTCTATCCTAATTTAATATACATCAGCACTTGCATCGGATGATGGCTAAATTCTCAACCGATGGCATGAGTTTGAGGTTGGGCTGCCTGGAGAACTCTGCCTACCTCCACAGTTCATGATTTTCCTCACAGTTGTAGTAGAGAGGATTTTCCGACTCCTCAGGAAGTCAGCCAGCTGGCCTCCTATTGGCACAATGATGGTCATCACCATGTGCGGCACCGCTGACAAAATGCCCACCTAAAACAGCAGAACATCATTCAGACTTACCCTAGAGTGAAGTGTACTGCATTTAAGAGCAAGTTTAAATCACAGAGGACTGTGAATTATAAATCACAGAACAATCCACCTTGCTAATGGGGAACCCGAAGACCTCTTCAAAGTAAGCCGGTTGACTAATGAGCAGGAGGTAAAAGGTCCAGCTTCGGCAGAAGTTTGCTACAATGATGGCATAGACGGGCATAGAAGTGAAGAATTCACGCCAGGGAGTTTTAAATTTCTGGAGAGAAAAAAATATAAGCGATTATATACACGAGTTAACCTCCTTCTTTATTGACCTTATTCTTCACCTGTGAGCGGGAGCAGCCATCAGAACCTGTCTTCCTGTCTAATTCATTTACATTGATTTTTAGAGGTTAAAACCAGCTTGTTATTTTACTTGATGTTGCAAACTGACATTTTTTTATTATATTATTCTAAATTTTATGTAAAGTCATAAACACATTTGTTTGTAGAGCAACTAGTTTAACCGTTTTCTGCTTTATATTATTCCCAGTCATTTCTCCCAACTTAATTTGGCATTCTAAAAATACCTTTAAGGTATTTTTAAAAAATTCCCCATCATTTGAGAGGGGTCTGGCTGCAGACTCGGTGCAGAGCAATCTGAGCTGCATCAAATGCTTTTTAATGCGCTCACCCAACCCCACCCCTAACCCCACCCGTCACAGTGACATCATTCACTCCATTGAGTGCATTGTGTCTGACATTGCATCGCTGAGTGATGCAGTCTCTGCTTGCATTATAAAGGCTGCATCCAGATACTATTGCATCATTTACCACTGACATCCACAGTAAGAAAAACAAATACTCTGGTGGTCAATGTTACAGCTTTCTTCAAAATATAATTTTTTGAGTCCAACAGTAGAAATAAACTCAAGTTTTGGAAGAAGTGTAGGATGAGTAAATGATGAAAGATTATTCTGTTTTTGTTCATCTATCCCTTTAGCATGCTTAAATACTGAATATAGGCTTATACGTTAATATACGTACACCAACACGAGCCACTTTATTAGGTACACTTGCGCAACAATTCATTAATACAAATATGTTATCAATCACACTGCAGAACACTAAACTTATGCTACACAATGAAAGATTAGAAAAGGGCTGCCAGTTTAAATTTCTGCTGCAACATTGGAATTGGCATAAACAACAAGAAAGCATGAATGCAATCTGCTTTTAATCAATGTTTGAGAGTGCTGCTGCTGTAATTGTGTAGGGGAGATTTTCTTGGCACACTATGGGCCACTTTGTACCAGCTAAAAATTGTTTAAGTACCACATTCAATCTCACTATAATATCTATGACTTTAAGCAGCATAAAGCATCTAATCATGAAACTCAAATCATCTCAATCTGGTTTCTGGAAAATGTCAGTGAGTTTGCTATACTCAAATGAGCACAAGAGATTCAAATCATTAATGTGAAATGAAAAAAATTTGTTCTGAAAGAAATAAGGGTTCAACCTGGTACCAGCAAGTTGTATCTAACTACAGTTGTGTGTGTGTGTGTGTGTGTGTGTGTGTGTGTGTGCGTGCGTGCGTGCGTGTGTGTGTATACAACATGTACCTCTGTTGAACTCATTAAATTGGCTCCTTCCCCAATAGAGGTTTCTATGTAGTTTCGTTCCTCCTCACTGATGGTGGGATGTACTGCTGGGCTGTTATAAGCAAGCAGGATCCAGAAAATATACCATATAATGCCAAACACACCTGGATGTTAAAACAGAATCACAGATGACTAATAATTATTACAAGTGTCACTTTTTAACAATGTTCACTACATGAACATTCAACATGATCTCACATTTTACATAGTGATATTTTTATATGATAAGCACACAATTTTAAGGGACAAAAGGTACGCATTAAGGTGTATAAATATAACATCATCGAGGCATAAGACTGACAAAAATGTTTGAATGAAATTGTACAAATGTAAACAAACTAGATACTTATTCACCAAAACAGTTACTTGTTAAGCACTAGCTGCCATGAGATTGTATAGGTCTATGATTTTGTCCAAACTGTATTCTCCAAACAGACTCATTGTCCTCCTTTATTTATGATGTTCATTCATTCATTCATTTTCTTGTTGGCTTAGTCCCTTTATTTATCCGGGGTCGCCACAGCGGAATGAACCGCCAACTTATCCAGCAAGTTTTTACGCAGCGGATGCCCTTCCAGCCGCAACCCATCTCTGGGAAACATCCACACACTACGGACAATTTAGCCTACCCAATTTACTTGTACCGCATGTCTTTGGACTGTGGGGGAAACCGGAGAACCCGGAGGAAACCAACGCGAAGGCAGGGAGAACATGCAAACTCCACATAGAAACGCCAACTGAGCCGAGGTTCGAACCAGCGAGCTGGCGACCTTCTTGCTGTGAGGCAACAGCACTACCTACTGCGCCACTGCCTCGCTCTATTTATGATGTTATTGCATAATATTCATTAATTCATTTTTTCCCTTTCAGTTTAGTCCCTTTATTTATCAGCTGTCGCCACAGGAAATTGAACTGCAAACTTATCCAGCATATGTTTACACAGCTTATTCCCTTACAGCTGCAACCCAGTACTAGGAAACATTGCATAATATTTATTTCATTCAATTCAGTTCCATTTTAGCTGTTCAGGTGAGTTTAATTCATTTCAAAGGGAGTAACTGGCAAACATAGGAATGTAAATTATTCCCATTTCTTCTGGCTGTTTATTATGAGTTAATAAATGTTTAGTAAACTAAAAAATAAAAATGTAATTATTTGGAATGAACAGATATATGACTCACTGACAGAAAAAAATTGAAGCTAATCACTTAGTTTCTCTCCTTTTTAAAATGATAATTAGTAGAAATATGCATTCATTCATTTTCCTTCAGCTTAGTCCCTTTATTCATCAGGGGTCGCCACATCGGAATGAACCGCCAACTTATCCAGCATATGTTTTACACAGCGGATTCCCTTCCAGCTGCAACCCAGTACTGGGAATCACCCATACACTCTCACACGCGCACACATTAACTACGACCAATATAGTTTACTCAATTTGCCTATAGTGCATGTCTTTGGACTGTGGAGGAAACCCACGCGAACACAGAGAGAGAACATGCAATTTCCACACAGAAATGCCAACTGGTCCACCCGGGGCTCAAACCAGCGACCTTCTTGCTATGAGGCGACAGTGATAACCACTGAGCCACCATGTCACCCTGGTAGTAATATAAATAATGTTTGTTTATTTTTTAACCAAAAGATCAACTCACCATATATATAGAAGACAGAGGGCCAGCCCACATACTGCACTAATATTCCAGCCAGTGGCATGGCTATCACAGCTCCTGCATAAGATCCTGTCAACCAGAACACACAAACACACACACGCAGGTATAATTAAGAAAGTTAAATTAGGAAGGAGCACATTAATCAACCTGTACTATTCTCCTTGCGTGACAGTTCAATAATTTGAAGCCATTACGGGGGTTGCCTCATAACTGGCAGTGCCAAACTCACATAATTAGTTTAGTTCAGCTTTCAGCGAGAAGAATTTTTAATTGTAACCTCTACATTTAGTTTAAAATTCTGACATTTTAGGAGATTTGTGCACCCAATGATGAGTTTTTTTCTAGTTATTTACTCAAAGTTGTCAAACTATTTAAAGCAACAAGTGCCAGACGACATGTGCAGTGTAAACCTTCCTATTTGGTGTAAAATTCTGGATTGAGCTTTTGAACATAGAAGAGGGTGCTGTTTCATTTATGTCAACAGAATGAAGCCTCTTTCACAGAGAGAACCTGTAGCTGTGTTGAGACCATCTTCGTTTAGTGGTCATGTTTAGAGCGTTTTGAAGCACAGGTTGTCATGGCACATGGAGAGAGCTGTTTTTATGCATTTGAAGGGCAATGCGCATTTGAATATAGATTCTAAGTCTTTGGTGAAAGTGATCAATGTGTATGATTTCTGAGAATGAATTTGTATATTGTAGATTTATTATCTTTTTATCTACATTTTGTTAAAAAATAAAGATCTGTTCACTTTCATTCAAAAACAATGGAAGTGTAAAATTCATTAGATGCATATCTCAGCAGAAATAAAACACAGTTCTGGTACTTTTTAACCTGACACTATCTGGTCAATTAGAAAATATAAGACTTATTTGAACTTCTTTGAGCTTTTCACAGATAAAGAATACATTACTCTTAGAGCTAAGGGGTAAGATATATCTACCTGACAGATGTTTTTGTTGTAAAACAACCAACAGATATTCTGTGAGGAGAGCTGCAGGATTTCCTCCATTTTAAATTGAAAATATTGAATGAATCATTTAGGCTGAGTGATTCTAAACCACACGTGATTCATAACTGATCTTTTTTATCCAAATAAATGCTCAAATGGTTAAACAAGAAAAAACTTTTTTTAACACTTTTATTGACAGCCCTTTTTTTGCAAGTTGCATTGTCAAGGCAAAAGAATCTGACAAAATGATTTTCAAATTGTTTATTTTATGAAATTAGATTTTTTTTAAGATTCATTGATATATAATTGCTATTTGGATTCATATCTATAACTGCTAAAAAAGTACAATTATATATATATATATATATATATATATATATATATATATATATATATATATATATATATATATATTTTTTTTTTTTTTTTTTTTTTTTTTTTTAATGACATTTAAGCTCGGTATGTGAATGACTCTTTGAATTGTTTACTCAAACGACTCATTCAAATACTGATTCATTCTCGAACAAAAAACGCCAGTTGGTCGGCGAAGTAACGTTAGCCAGCTTTTAATTAGCCTATGAATAGGCTAATAATCATTAGCTTCTGCATCGTTTAAAAGTATTTTCGTTGATATTTACAGCAACATTTATAAAGTGTTTTCTCCGAATTGCTTTCATATAAATAGACTTTTTACTATTAAAATACGCTGTGACAAACTTACCACAGAACGAGGTAGTAGCCAGACGACTTCTTTCAAGCGGAGGAGCCCATTTACTCCACATCCCATGGCAGGCTGGATATGTGACACCCTGTTAACATAATGCACTGTTAGTATTAATACTCAATGTATTTCAATCAAAATGACCTATTCATTTAATACTGAAAGAAAATGTTTGTCTATATAATCCCTTCATAAGAATCATGACTTAAATTTCTGTCTTTTGCCACTCAAAAGCGACTGAGAATATAAAGCATGGCTATTTTTATTGTTATTTCTGGGAGCTTGAAATAGTGTGAAATTACAATAAACCTTTTTGTTCTGCTTTTGTGTTACAGAAAAGAAAGAAATAGACGAAAGGGTGTGTGAAATTATATGAGGGTGAGTAAATGATTCATTTACAAACAAATAGTAAACAATTTATAATTAAATGTATATATAATAACATTTTTCAATTAGTTAAAAAAAAGAAGATGCAACATTTGAGGATGAGATCACTGATGGACCCAAGTGGTGCTCACCTCCACAAGTCCTTGTAAGATTCGCACAAACATCACACAACCATAGTGAACCCTGGCAGCTGATGGAATAAACATGTTTAGCACTGACGTCAAGAAAATGGCTGCTCCAAACACCCTGAGATACAGAGACATTTGATCATGTTACTTTAATTATGAATATAAAACATTTAAGGCATCATAACTAATTTAAAATTAAGAAAGTAATTTCAGTAATAAACAGTCAGGCTCACTCCATAATAATGTTTTCTGAATAATTTAAAAACCATTACGCTAGTCCTGGAATTCTGAGAGACATTAAATATTTCTTATAATGAATAAGTGTTTCTCCTTGACATGATGTAAAAGTGATGAGTTAGTGACCCCTAGAGCAATTTCTGCAACATGAAAAGGACTAAAATGAAGATTCAAATAAATTTGATGATACTGAACTTTGATAATTGAAGACAATATTAAAGTGCATCATCATATTACACTGAATTGTTTGAAGTATAAATGCAACCATAATTTTTTATTATTGTTGAAGTTATAATGCATTATTTCTACCTAAAGTCTGTAGATTTTTTTTCTGCATAGCACTAAGCCACTCACTCATTCACTATCTTTCAGCTTAGTCCCTTATTTATCAGGGGTTGCCACAGCGGAATGAACCACCAATTACTCTGACATGTGTTTTATGAGGCAGATCCTCTTCCAGCTGCACAGAATTAACCAATTTATGTCTTTTTTACTTTAAATATTTGTAAAATCTCTTCGTTTTCTGTAAAAAAAAAAAACTAAACACTTTGCTTAAGAAATCTCATCACTGAATGGACCTGATGTTTGTGATTTTAGAGGTTCTGCATGCTTTCACACCACTACATCACAGCATCACATGCAAGAGAGTCATTTTAGTTCATTCAGTAGTCCTTTATCTCCATTTAATCCATCCATCTGCCTCTTTTTTTTTCCAAAACAGTGTGTAAGTGACACTTGTAATATTCCAGTGGCTGGTGTTTCAGCGAGAGATCTACTGCTGGATCTTTCATTATTAACTCTGTCAACCACGTGTCCTCTTTTCCTGTGAGGCTTTTATTACAAGACTGCTATCGCCCCTCTAATCAACACACGGTACAAATTTAACCCTCGCAGCCCTGGCCACTGCACTCGTGTGGATGTTAAAACACCTTTGAATGTAATATGAGAGTTATGTTATGGAACAAGAGTCTTGGCTTCAGTGCCTGTGCGCCGGTACAAAACTCACCTGTTAGCCGCTAGTTTATTAGAGATGAAACCTCCAGGGATTTGAGTGACGATGTAGCCCCAGAAAAAAGAGCCATGTATTAATCCCACTGTCTCTGGATCCCAATTAAACTGAGCTGGCTAAACAATGCAAACATTAGAAGAGAATACGTTAGCTTGTAATTCAATTAAAAAGAAGAATAGAAAAAATACACTTTGTGCATAATATACATGAGTCATTACTGAGTATACATATTGATGGCCTTGTGAATATGTGTGTGCATGAATCATGTCTTCCTCTCAGTATCTCTTATAACAGGAAATTACAGGAAATTGTGGCTGCTAACTACCAAAAAAAGCCATTGATAAGAATTCAGGCTTGGAAAAAAAGAAGATAATCATCATTTGAACTTGATTGCTGTTAGAGTCAAATGAATTGTCTGTCTAGACCAAGGGTTTTCAAACTTTTCTAAACCAAGGACTCCAACATTTGACTGCTGTATAAATGCTTTTACAAGCTTAGGGCTTTTTTTTAGCATTCAAATGCTTCAAAATTATACTGAAACAAAAACATTTATTTTTATTATCGAAGTTAAACATTTTTTTATTTTCAATCAAATTTTATTTTTATATTTCAATTTTATTTGTATTTTCTGCATTTCTTAAAGAATAGAAATTTTAAGAGAACTGCATGTATCTGAAATAGAGATTAAATGTATTTACAGTGAGCTTAATCAATTTTATAAATATAAAAGCATTCATTCATTTTCTTGTCGGCTTAGTCCCTTTATTAATCTGGGGTCACCACAGCAGAATGAACCGCCAACTTGTCCAGCACGTTTTTCAAAGCGGATGCCCTTCCAGCAGCAATTCCCAAAATACCCAACCTGTACCGCATGTCTTTGGACTGTGGGGGAAACCGGAGCACCTGGAGGAAACCCATGCGAACGCAGGAAGAACATGCAAACTCCACACAGAAACGTCAACTGAGCCGAGGCTCGAACCAGCGACCCAGCAACCTTCTTGCTGTGAGGCGACAGCACAACCTACTGCACCACTGCTTTGCCAATATAAAAGCAATAAAAGTAATATTCTAGCTGATGTCACAAGGGACCAACTTGTTACAAAATTATGTTTATTATAAATAAATGAATTAAATTGTAAAGATAAAATTACACAATTGCATTTTATTGACGCATTGAGTAGCACGTTCGCCTCACAGCAAGAAGGTCGCTGGTTCGAGCCTCGGCAGGGTCAGTTGGCGTTTCTGTGTAGAGTTTGCGTGTTCTCCCCGTGCTTGCGTGGGTTTCCTCCGGGTGCTCTGGTTTCCTCCACAAGTCCAAAGACATGTGGTACAGGTGAATTGGGTAGGCTAAATTGTCCATAGTGTATGTGTGTGAATGAGTGTGTATGGGTTTCCAAGTGATGGGTTGCAGCTGGAAGGGCATCCGCTGCGTAAAAATATGCTGGATAAGTTGGCGGTTCATTCCGCTGTGGCTACCCCAGATTAATAAAGGGACTAAGCTGAAAAGAAAATGAATGAATGAATGCATTGTATTGTCATGTACATATACTCATTTAAAGTGTATTTGTTTGTGAAAAATACTGTGCATGTTTAATTTTTTGCAGAAATTTTCTTTTAAAAGTCATCCAGATGAAATTTACAATATATATGAATGATACAAACACATTCGCTAGACTAAAATTATTATAAAAGTCAAAAGTATAAAGTAAAAATATATATTTTATTAATATTGTCTAAAAAAAACTGTTTACTCATTCCTATTACTGATATTGTTATTTATTGATATCTGCTCATTCATTCATTCATTCATTTTCGGCTTAGTTCCTTATTTATCAGGGGTTCCCACAGCGGAATGAACCACCAACTATTCAGGCATATCTATTATGCGGTTAATGCCCTTCCAGCCGAAACCTAGTACTGGGAAACAACCATATACTCTCGCATTCACACACACACTCATACACCACTGCCAATATAGGATATCAAATCCTCCTATAGCGCATGTCTTTGGACTTTAGGGGAAACTGAGTACCCGGAGGAATCTCACACGAACACAGAAAGAACATGCAAACTCCACAGAGAAATGCCAACTGGCCCAGCCTGGACTCGAACCAGCAAACCTTTTGCTGTGAGGTGACAGTCCTAACTAGGGTTGTAACAATATACCGGTATGACGGTTTACCACGATTTGAACGTGCACGATTATCATACCATGAACAATTTCATATCAACGGTTTTAACCTTTAACGGTTTTCTGTCTCCTTAAAGACCGAGACAGCCGCCCGCGGCTAAAAATAAGTTTAATAAGTCTTAAATGTTTAATAACTTTTGATCCGCTGATCCGATTCATACAATTCAAAGATTGGCATAAAGAAGAGAATCTCAGCTTTCCAGTGCTGTATCACATAACATTCGCGGACTTTCAGAGGCTCCGGAATCAGTGCGGTTACGTCATCAACATTTGACAACGCTGATTTGACAAAGAAACGCTCGTCACTGTGTCTCCGGACAAATCAGACATGATACATTGATGCATTGTCCCTCCTCCATGCCCAGATTGGTTTAAACTCGCTATATCACAACCAATAAGCATAGGTTTCGCTTTTGTTTGTGGACCAAGCTTTTTGAACAACACGGAATGAGAGATAGGCATACATTTCTGCGCGGCTAAATAAAACGCAAAAAAAAAAGTTTTGCATGAAATAATTCTCATACTAAGTACTTTTGCATGCACAGCAGCACAGAAACATGACAAAACAGTGACACAGCAAAGACGAACTGCTGCTCTTGCTTTTTTTCAAAAGACACAAATGAAGATGCAGCTGTTTGTCTGCATTGCAGACAACCATATCCAAATCCATATCGATAGACAACCATATCCATGCTGGCACATAAAACCTAAGGATGTTCCATATTGAATCTAGTTTCGTTATGTAACTATTTATAGTATAGTAAATATTTATATCTATTTTTTACTGAGGATTTGCACCATGTTTATTTGGACTTTATTTGGACTTTGACACATTATTTATTATTTTCTTATTTTTATTTGTTCATTGTAAGTGGTGTTGTTTATAGTAACTAAAAATATATTATTTGGAAAAAGTCAAATTTGCTTCACTGTTCTATTATTTTGTAACATTTGTAACATACCGTATACCGTGAAACCGTCAAACCGTGGTATTGTTTTAGACGATTATCATACCGTGAAAAATTCATACCGTTACAACCCTAGTCCTAACCACTGAGCCATCGTGTCCAACTGATATCTGCTCGTTTAGTGTTATTGACATTCATTTCATTTTTCTTCTTAATCTTTTTGGTCACCAGTTAAAAATCCCTTTGGTCTTAAATTAACATGAGAGAGGAACGGAAATCTCATTTTAATATTTTTTTCGGTTTATTTATTTCTGGTTTCACCTGCATGACGGCCGTCCCGTTGATGTAGACTGTGTTGTTGTTAACCATCTCCACAATGGCTACACCAAGGTTACAGCGAATGCCAAACGAGATGCAAAAGCCCAGTCCACTGAGCATGGCGATGATGTACCGTTTGGGAAGGCCAAAGCACCCACAGTCCAATAGGGGTGGGCTTCGTTTAGGGGCTGCCACCGGCCGACCATCTTCTGTCAACTCAATGTTGTCCTCTTCGGTCACATTTGAGCCATCGATCTTCCTACCGTTGCATAAGAAATAGTTTAGAAAGGACAGATCCACCTTTTTCCTATGCCTTAATAATAATGATCAGTGAAGTGGGAGTAAGGTGATATTATTCTCCTTACAGTTCAGCTTTGAATATTTAATAACATATATTAGAATTAACAAACAACTTTTAGTAGACCATGAATAACCCCAAAAACTCTTGACAATTCTACAGAAATTTTACAAACTGTATTGAGGGAAATGCATTACAAGTTATACAAGTTACGTAATAATATTACTTTTTTTAAGTAATGAGTAAAGTGACTTTCCTTTAAAAAAATCCTTTGTAATTTGTAAATTCCAAATTTTTAAATATTTTTAAAAATTGTATAATCATATTAATTAAAAAAAAAAAAAATATATATATATATATATATATATATATATATATATATATATATATATATATATATATATATATATATATATATTCTTTTTTTTTTTTTTACAATGAACTTCTTACAATAAAAACAATCTCATTTAGAACACAATGGAATTAAATGTCTTTTGCTTTGTCCTCTATCTGTCAGATAACGGAATTTACATTTTAATATTAAAAAAAATTATTTATTCATAACATTAAACAAACAAACAAAAGTTGACAAGAATTGACGATCTCTGTTAAATTAATTTTGCCCAACCTTTCCCATCATTCTCTCAGGCCAAATGAAAGATTACCATTGCCAACTTTGGCCCGCTTTTATTAATTTGTATATACAGCATACAGTTAAATTCAGGATTATTAGCCCCCTTGAATTATTAGCCCGCCTGTTTATTTTTCCCACAGTTTCTGTTTAACGGAGAGAAGATTTTCCCAACACATTTCTAAATATAATAGTTGTAATAACTCATTTCTATTAACTGTTTTATTTCATCTTTGCCATGATGATAGTAAATGGTATTTGTCAGATTTTTTAAGACACTTCTATACAGCTAAAATGACATTTAAAGGTTTAACTAGGTTTATTAGGTTAACTAGGCAGGTTGTGGTTGTTAGGCTAGTCATTGTATAATGATGGTTTGTTCTGTAGACTATCAAAAAACAAATGAGCTTAAAGGGGCTAATAATATTGACCTTAAAATGGTATTTAAAAAAATTAAAAACTGCTTTTATTCTAGCTGCAATAAAACAAATAAAACTTTCTCCAGAAGAAAAATTATTATTAGACACACTGAAAATTTCCTTTCTCTGTTAAACTTAATTTGGGAAATATAAAAAAAAAATTAAAATTCAAGAAGGTAGCATTATTCTAAATAAATCCTAAAAAAAAAATTTTTTTTTAAAGGTAAGTAAAGGCCCTAACCTGATTTCACCCAGCAGGACATGTTCCTGGATCAACTATGTTCCAATCAGCCAAAACCGAATTAAAGTATACATTTACAATTTATGTTAAGTTTAAGCTCAGGGTTAGGTTTACGCACTTCTGCATGATTGCTATCTAACTATTATTTCCCTCTGATTTTGGAAATAATTTACAGTTAGGTTGGGTTTGAGGGTAGGGAATAGGCATGGATTACATTTTTGAACAATAGTGATGTTTTAGGATCAACATGTCAATCGGGAATCGCATCATACTTGGCAAAATCATGGCGTGCGAATGAAGGTGTAGCTTATACAGAGAATCATTAATTGCTGAGCTGCAATTACTGCAAGCTCTGAAAGAGATCAAGTTTCAGGGTAAGGACAGTAATGCAAAAGTAATTGATAACGCATTATACTCAAATATAACGCAAAATAACTTAAGTAATGCACCTATAGTTCATTTTTGGGCAGCAACTCAATATGTTCGACAATCTTATTATTCAAAACGATATATTAAAGTTAATTTGAATAGATGCAAACCGAAAGTGCAGCCCAAAATTCGAAACACAGTAGTCACGTGCTGAAAAGGTGAACAGTAAATAAGCTAAAGAAGTTTTTACTGATGTAGATTGAGCTCAGTGTTGTCTGAAAGTGATTATGAGTGATGTACTGATGGACAGAGTGAATTCTCCTCTCGGTGGAGAAGGCCAGCAGGGGTTGCCAGAGTTTGCCGTCGAAAAGGTCAGGCTGCATTCGGTTCTCCTTCCCTTTCGCCACACGCACCTGTTCCATTACTGAACCTTCATCATTTCTCTCATCCTCCACCTCACATGAATTACTTTCATCTGTCCATTTTGAAACGCACACCTGAGTTCTTGCACACACAGAGAAAGCAGCTCACTAAAAGCTGAATACTGCGGGATTGAGGATCAAGAGGAATCAGAGCCGTCCATGATCTTTGTGAAGCATTGTTAATGGACATAAGCTATACTTTAAGACAAAGTCCTGCTCTGAAATTAAATTTTTTTTAACTGCAAATAATGCATGCACATTTAAATCAGAAACTGTCTTTTAAGTTTTGGTGTCAATGAATTCCATACTTTTTTTTTTTTTTTTTTTTTAGATTCATCTGAACTTTAGAATTGTCATAAGATTTAATACCATTATAAAACTAATGTCAAATAAAACCTATAACAAGATGTGGCCGGACATTGTAACCTGCAATTGAATATCACCACTAACATCATAAAGACATGTTGTACACTGTGTGGACACAAGGATTATAATAGAACACATAATAAAGATCCAGTCAAGAATAGCAAATAAACAAAAAAAGCTCGTTCTGCAAACAGCCACTATACTTATAACATAATTGATGATATTTAATATGTAACGTATTTAATAGCATGTGTTGCTTTTTTGGAAATGGCCTTGCTTATGAGCTGCAAATATACTTTTCTAGCAATTAAAATGTACAATAACAGTTCTGTACCATTTGAACACACTTTGAAAGCAAGAAAAATCAAAGCAGGAATTATGATAAATGTTGCATAGCGTGAACATTTTTCAATGTGCACCATAGACTAAATAAAAAATGCTTATATATATTCCATTTGATATATTGTGCGTTATTTAACATGCGTATTTCCCACTGTTTAAAGAGGTTTCCTGACAATATAACACAGACACAGGAAATTGTTTACATAATCTCACATATTAGGCTGTTTAATACGAAATACTTGATACATACAGCTGAAGTCAGAATTATTAGCCCGCCTGAATTATTTATCCCCCCTGTTTAATTTTTTCTCCAATTTCTGTTTAACAGAGAGAAGATTTTCTCAACACATTTCTAAATATAAAAGTTTTAATAACTCATTTCCAATAACTGATTTATTTTATCTCTGCCATGAAGACAGTACAAAATATTTGACTAGATATTTTTAAGACACTTCAATACAGCTTAAAATGACATTTAAAGGCTTAACTAGGTTAATTATGTTAATAGGCACTTAGGCAAGTTATTGTAAAACAATGGTTTGTTCTATAGACTATGGAAAAAATATAGCTTTAAGGGGCTAATTATTCTGACTTTAAAATTGTGTTTAAAGAATTAAAAACTGCTTTTATTCTAGCCAAAATAAAACAAATAAGACTTTCTCCAGAAGAAAAAATATTATCAGACATACTGTGAAAATTTTCTTGCTCTGTAAAACATCAAATTCAAGGGCAGGCTAATAAATCAACTGTATATACTAGGTGGAGTCCTCAAGTTTTTAATCTCTTCAGAGGCACTGGATATTAAATATGAATGAATACACCTAGAAAGCAATAGAACATTTTAGAATTTTGAAGGTTCAGAGTATATAGGGTTTTGCATGATAACGGTGTTATTGCTAGATTTTCTAAGAAGCAAACAAATTTCAGCAGCTATTTTTTCAGAAAGGCTGATAAAAAAATCTAAAATATAAATTTAGTTTATTATTTTATAGTGATATAATTGAGGCTTTAAAAGATCATTTAAATGATTTTGTTGACGCATTTTAGCTGAAAAAATATTTAAAAAATGAACCATATAAAATATTTTTCAATAAATTATTATGCAATAACATTTTTGACATTTTTATTCCTTTGTTTGAAAAACAAATTAAGAGTTCAGATGCAAAAACCTCTTTCTCTTAAAATGAGCAATTTTTTCTCAGCCTCCTGTGTGTATGTTACAGTAATTCACTTTAAAGGCGATGAAATAACTTATTTGTCACTATAAAAATACAATTTCTGAGCCTAGACACAAGAGTCTAAGAAAAATGGTAATATTAGAAGAAAATCTCAAATGACATTGAGGTTTTTACATCTAAACTCTAATTAGTGAAGGTAAAATGCTGATGTTATTAACACTACTAAATAGTTTTTTTTATTATTAATTAATTAAATTAATTATTATTATACATATATACATAACTCTTTTAAAACATCAAGTAACTAATAATTTCATCAAATATGTTCTATTTTCTTCTTTACTTGATTCTATATTTCTTTCAGAACCAAAACCACGTACCGCAAGCAATCATCTTCTCATATAGCCTCAAATCAGCTTCACACTTACTTCTGCAGGTTCCCCAGAGAGTCGCCCACATTATTCTTCAGCTCCTCCTTCCCCGGGTTGAGCTTTTCCTTCAGACCCGCAAACCCCCCCAGTGGCATCTCTCCTTCCCTTTCACGTCTGTCCCTCAAACACTCTCAGAAAAACAGAGCCAGGCGTCCACTAAACGCCGGTGCGCATCCTCTCCTGCACTGGACTGAGCGGATCGAGGAGGAGGAGAGAAATTCAGACACCGACACACACAAACAAGAGGAGGGACTTTGCTTTCCAAGATCCTTCATTCGGTTTTATCCGCAGAACATCCAGAAACGAACCACAAATTGGGAATCCGAGTTCATTGAATTAGAATCTCAAAAAGTTAGACATCAATAATGGAAAGTCCGTCGTTCTCCTTGTTGGACAATGACTGAAGAACACCTGACTTTTCCCTCCCTTATTGCAAAGCAGGCCAAAAAGAGTGACTCTAGCAGAGCTCATTTAATATTGATGGGCAAGTCAAGGATCGCAGGCGAGGGGTTGTTTGATATGAGCAGGTGTAATGAAACACCTCGTCCTCTATAGTCCCCGTCTAACCCGTATCCCAAAAAAACTGTTCCAGGGGTTCACAGGTCAAACGTATCAACGTCAACAACCAAACACTGTGAGGGATCGATGGGCTGTAGCTGATGTTGAAAAGCTGCATTTGTATTGTAATTCTGTTGCTGGAGAACTTCACCTTTTTCTCCACGAAAGCCTCTTTTGTGCAATAATCATCAAAAATGCAGCATGCTTTAAAAATTCAGATATTGAGGTGTAAAAAATTCATTATAGTCTGTGTGGTGTTGCGCTAGACTCTCAGGCTGTGTTTCACTGATGCTTGTTCTTCGGTTCTTCAGTTTACATTGAGGAAAATCTGGCACATAATGGGCTGCCAAAGCCTGAAGTCAGGATTGACTGTGAGAATTGAAGATTTACTGTGTTCTCATACAAAAAACAGGTATTTGAAAATGACTATGAAGAGGTTTTGATTACACTGTGCTGGTTTGCAGGAATAAACACCAGGGGTTAATTGATTTCAACACCAAATAGAATTGTTCTTAAGCAAGGGATCACCACCCTAAAATCCAAAAGGCTATTTATACTGGAAAAAAATTATTTAAAAAATTAATTAAAATATTCTTTTAAAAGAAAAAGTCTAGTTTCTGTTAAGTTATATTAATATATTTTAACTTTACTGTCAAACTGTATTTTCTATTTTATTTACATTTTTAGTTTATGGAATGCAAGGAATTAAATTAATTGATATTTATTAAATTGTTTATTTAATCATTTTGCATTTATTTGTTTCTTATTTTTGTATTATTTATTTTATAATTATCATCATTCTACAATTAAAGTAGTGTTTCTTTAAGTTAATATAGCTGCCTTAATTAAATGATTATTTATTATTGAATTATTATATATAAATATATATATTTCTGTGTGTATATAGTTATATATATATATATATATATATATATATATATATATATGTGTGTGTGTGTGTGTGTGTGTGTGTGTGTGTGTGTGTGTGTGTGTGTGTTTTGTGTGTGTGTGTGTGTGTGTGTGTGTGTGTGTGTGTGTGTGTGTGTGTGTGTGTGTGTGTGTGTGTGTGTGTTTGCATTATTAATGCCTTTTCTCCAATCCTTTTTATGGACAACGCAGGTGGCGCCCACTTGTGGCCATCTGGGGGTCCCCAGACCCTATTTTGAAAAACCTCGAACTACACTGTGGTGTTGTGTTAACTACTGCCATTCATTCATTCATTTTCTTTTCAGCTTAGTCCCTGATTTATCAGTGGTAGTTTAATTAACCGCTAACTACCTTGGCTAATGTTTTATGCATCCTTCCAGCTGCACTCCATACACTGGGAAACACTCATAGACTCTCACACACACACTCGTACACTGTGGTCATTGTAGTTTATTCAATTCACGTATCACATCTTTTTAAACTGAGGACTAAGATCTAAACAGGTCCTGTTTTATTTTATATTATTGTTATTGGTTCCGCCACAGGAGTATTCATTAGGCAGGGGAAAAAACATTTTATTACACTTTTTAAATTACTCCACTGTTTTATTCCAGCATGTATTTTCATTTATCTATCTGAAGATTTTTTTGACATATCTATGTTTGGTCTTTATTGGCAGAAATATATGGATATAGATAATCAAAGTTTGCATGTTTTCCCCGTTTCACGTGGGTTTCCTCTGGGTGCTCTGCTCCAGACATGTGGTACTTTATAGTTGAATTGAATTAGCTAAATTGGCTGTAGTGTATGAATGTGGGTGTTACCCATGGTTGGGTTGAGGCTGGATGGGCATCCGCTATGTAAAGCATATGATGGATAAGTTGACGGCTAATTCCGCTGTGATGACCCCTGATTAATAAAGGGACTAAGCCAAAAAGAAAATTAATGAATGAAATTGGCTGTAGTGTGTGTGTGTGTGTGTGTGTGTGTGTGTGTGTGTGTGTGTGTGTGTGTGTGTGTGTGTGTGTGTGTGTGTGTGTGTGTGTGTGGATGTTTCCCAGTACTGGGTTGCAGCATAGAAGGGTATCCGCTGCATAAAACATATGCTGAATAAGTTGGCAGTTCATTCTGCTGTGGAGACCCCTGGTGAAAAAAAGGACTGAAGGAAAATGAGAGAACGAATGATCTGCTTGTCCAATTGAACTTTGTTTTTAAAGAATAGAGGGACATCTAGTGGTTAATAGGAGCCAGTGTGCAGCTGTCAGGCAGGTTATTTTTATCCCATAAACTAAATTTCATTGTACAGTAGTTAGTCTTGACATTTTACATTTACAAAAACCATACATTTTTTATTTTTACAGTACCCATAAACACTCAACACTGGCAGCAAAATTGTTGCACCATATACCCTGACAATATATTGTATTTTGGACTTCCAAAATGTTCATTAAAGGACACTTAAGCTGCATAAATTTGTTTTAAAATCAAAAGTAATAGAACAGAGATTAAGATCCATAATGCAACATAAATGTATAAATAAACTTAAATAAAGCAGCATGATTCAAGAACAATTTCCATTAGTCATACAGCTGTTAATAAACATTTTTACAGTGTCATGCTTCTTGTGTTAATGCATTTTCAGGACATCAAATCTTTGCTGCCCAGTAACATCTGCTAGTGGATTAAATTTGGTTTGATGAATTCAATTGAAGCATTTGTTGTGTTGGGTTTGTTTCCCGGAAAAAGCAAAAAACTGATTGCAATATTGAACTAGCAATATATATATATATATATATATATATATATATATATATATATATATATATATATATATATATATATATATTTTTTTTTTTTTTTTTTTTTTTTTTTTTTTTTTTGATTGATTGATTGATTGATTGATTGATTCCCAGAATGTTCTAAAAATGTTTTACTATTAGGAAACATTATATTTTAGGTCATTTAAAAATAACCTCACTGCAGTACTTGGTTAACTTTATTAACTATATTTTGTAATTTTAAAAAGTAAAAAATGTTAAAAAATCGAAAACTTTCCTTGAACATCATTACACAAAAAACATACAACAACCAAATAGAAACTAAAAACTAACATTTGGCAAATGTCTGACTCCTGCGCTTGCTGAGTTGCTTTGAAACAACGAGGCTGCCAATTTTTTTCATGTAAAAGTAAAATGTATGGTGGATCGAGACAATAGAGGATGTAAAATAATTTGTATTCAGGCTTCCTCTTTCCTAAACATACTATGTAAAAGTCACTCTTTATATAAAAAAATGCTTTCATTCATACAGATTATCCGTGTAGTATAAATCAAGATTCATGAAGGACAGTGAGTGAATTAGTAATTTGCTAGAAATTTCCAGGAGTTTTCTTGGCATCAACATATGCAACACTTGTCCAGCAGAAGACGCTAGTGCTTATGTTTTCGTTCAGAGTTGGCTACTCAACCGTTTCAAACACAGGCTGACAAACAAAGTCTTGGTTGTGAAAGTTGTTTTCTGGCTATAGAAGACGAGTTTATGGTTTCAACAATCAAAACCTGCAAACATCTCTTAAACAATCATTGTTTTGAAGTCCTAGAGGGGTTTTCAAACTGTGGTCATCCAGGGGGCCGCAAATGTTTGAAGAAAAAGCTTTTAAAAGTCTTAAATTGGCAAACATATTTTTTATTAATAATTTTATATTGTTTTTTTTTATTTTATTATTTTTTATTTGTCTTGAAATATACAAAATGCACTTTTGGTCAAAAGTTTGGGGTCTGTAGGATTTTTAAATGTTTTAAAATAAGCTTCTCCTGCTCGCCAAGGCTGCATTTATTTCATTAAAAATACAGTACAGACTGTGAAATTGTGAAATGTTATTGCACTGTTAAATAACTGTTCAAAAGTAGTTTATAATTTCATGTAATAATTTATTCAGTGCTTTTAAAGATGAATTTTCAGCTTCATTACTCCAGTCTTCAGACACATAATCCTTCAGAAATCACTGTAATATTAATTAATATTATTGTTATTATTATTACTTTTATTAATGGTAATAGCAATAAAATCAGTAATAATTGTGATCATTTCATTTGAAACTACCTACAATACAAAAAGCAGTTATTTTCAATTGTAATAAAATATTTAACAATTTAACATTTTTTGATGAACAGAATATTCATTCCTTCATTTTCAGCTTAGTCCCTTTATTAATCCGGGGTCGCCACAGCGGAATGAACCGCCAACTTATCCAGCTTGTTTTTTAGCAGCGGATGCCCTTTCAGTCGCAACCCATCTCTGGGAAATGATCCGAATAATTTTCTTCAAAAAAACATGGGTAAAAAACTGACCCCAAACTTTTGACCGGTAGTTCAAATTATTAAAAACATATACTTAAAGAAGCAAACAAATAACATAAGATCAAAGTAATACTGTGTATAATTGTATAAAATTATAATAATAATACATCTAAAATAATCAATATCTAATCCAAAATGTATTTCAGATTAAAAGATTCAAACAAATGATGTATATTGATTCTTTATCCAAGAAAACAGATGACTTTTATGATAGTGAATTAGGATTTGCGTGAGGGTGATCATATTTGAGATTTACCACTGACCAAGATAACGTCAATTCAGTATCTTTAGACCACAGTGTTTTAAGCTGATAAGGTCAAATGCCAGTTCAAACTGTCAAATTTATTATAACAACATTTGAAGCAATAAATATAAAGAGTAAATTGCTGGAGGGAAATGACTGAAATAGTAGGCCTATTCTAGTTTTATATACTTTTAAAAAGAATGAACTGTAAAGGCTATTATTAACAAGCTTATTTAGACTTATTTCTTATATTGAAAGTAAGGTCATTTCCAATCTTTTCGATTTGCTTTAGTCAAAGATGGAAACAAGACGTTGACACAAAACAAGTATTTCAAATTTATTATTTAATTCATTAAAGCAAAACTATCCAGACACATTCACATAAATATAATAGGCCTAACTAACCTACTTGTTTAATTAAAATTATCCCAGCAATGTTACTGGTACACATTCACCAAATACCTCAATATAACAAACATTTCTAGTTTAAACCTACATCTGATATTGCAGGAACTGAACGCGCTCTGCTCGAGTTGCATTGCTACAATTGAAAGGACGACCGTCCATCCGTCCGGCGCTCGTTCACTTCAGCACCGCATACCGCCATCGCATCCGTGACCGCATTTTTTCTCGGCTTGCATAACATATCGCGTGACTTACTAGGTTAGTAACGTGAGGGAGCGGACAGGAGAAGGCGGTGTTGATGATGGTAGGAGGAGATTGCGCGTCGTCTTCTTCCGCGTTTCCCCGGATTTCAACCACTGTCCTGCTTCCATCGTGTCCTCTCCTTGCACGTTTTTACGCTCAGCCCACCCTCCCAATTCAGTTAGTTGTAAAGAAAAAAAATTAAAGCAATTACACAGGCCTCGCCGCCCCCCCACCTTCCGCCTTTACCTTTCCTCTCTTCTTTCTCCCCCCTCTTTTGCAAATAACTACCGCCGCCTTCGTTCTCCACATGCGGCATCGGAGCCCTGGGCCGCGGCGTACCGGCTCCAGCCATGTCGTCGAGGAACACAGCGGCTGGCGGCGGTGACGGAGCGACGGGGGAAAACACAGGTAACTCGTCGCTTCAAACAAAAAACGACTCGTCCTCCCGGGAATGCTCCGGTCGACGCGAACAGGGCTGGTGTGGATTGCGCGTTGCGCCGGGCGGAGGAGAGGGAGCACTCGGTGTTCCCCGCTGATTGGTTTGCGCACTGAAAGTAGGTCAGTAGTTCAGTAGAGCGAACTCGAGCAAACCCGAGCACAGGCGCGTCGGAACTGTGCGCTGGCTGGGGCACTTTTCAAGCTTTACCGCTGCGGTTAAAGCACACATTTAGTCATAAATTTGCCTGGCAGTCGCTTTTAACTGTAGAAAAGCTCTGCTGTAGTTGTTTTTGCAAGGCCTTTGTAAGACTTGTTTTGCCGCCACGTTCGGTCATTGCGGCTAGTTATTATTATGCTAACGTTAGTTTAAATGTCTTGGGTTTGTTTTATCCTTTTGTTCTGTATTTTAACTATTTAAATTTGGTTTGTGGCGATTTATTTTAAACTATCGACGTTTTGAAGTAAATCTTCAGGAAAAACATGTTGATTTATTGTGTTTACCTTTGCATTGCGGTGGTTATGAAAAAGAATGCTGCGGTTTTTGTTTGCGAGTATGATTCATCTGTTAATTATTCCGGTTCATTTAGGGTTGTTGTTATTTTGAATCTTTTAAGACACACAAACACAATTATTTGTATACATTTCTAAGCATATGTAATAGGAAGCGATACAACGTTATATATGTGCGGAAACATTTGATTAGTCAATACTGAAGCCTATCAAATAAAATAATTTATGATAATGGTCCAATAAAAATACACTTAAATGTTTTAGAAAAATAATAAATATACATTTAAAAAGGAGAAAAAATCAAGAGAAGCAAAAACAAATGAAAAATTGTTGAAATTTTAAAACATTTTTGCACTATTTAGCTTGATTTAATTGTATTATCTTTCAATTTCTGAATATCTTTGGTGACTAAAATATTATTTTTATAAATATTTGTTTAGTAAATTTGGTTAAATCTATGAAAGTTCATTGCCTATATTCACTAAGAAATAGATAAAAAAATATCCATTTTCAAAATGGACAACTGCTGACAACTGTATGTTTTATTCTACGAATATGTTATAACATTTCTTCCAAAAATCAGAGTTTTTTTTTATAAAATAAGAATTGGTCAGAATTACAATTGTTTTCAGTTGTTATGGTTTGAAAGTAAAGATTTCCCACCAAATACTTATTTCTTATACTGAAGTTGAAACATCTGTAAAATTGGTCTAAAAATAATATGGACGTCTAAAACATTGCTTATTATTTTGCGTAAAAAGAGCTAATAATTATGTAGTCATGTTTTAAATTAAACATTTAGTCATTTAGAGCCTTTACTGCATCAGTACAACTCTAATGTTTTGAGGATAATAGGCATTAATGCTAATGATCATGGCTGTATATTAAATAAACAGTTAACCAAATAAATATAACTCATCAAATTACTTTATGCCTTCATCGATTTTAGTAAAATACGAATGATTGCCACAAAACTTGCCACACTTTATAAATGAGATCTAATGTTTAGAATCTTGTTCTGCTTTTAAAGCTTTATTCTGTGTATAGTTATACTCTGCGCACTTTGACAATCAGGTTTTTTATTTTTGGAGTTCACAAATCTACCATCTAATACTGAAGCTTTCTCCCAAGTGAATTCAGTCCCCTGTTTAATGAGTGAAACTGCATGTTGTTGTGACGTAAATGTGAATCATTAGCATTGTGAGGTCATAGTGCTGCCTGATCTGCTCTGATTTCTTGTAACGTGACCTTGTAACGTGACGGTTGTGTAATATGTAGGTCAAACTCCGCACACTTGTAGGCCAGAGCTGTGATGCCCTCCTCTTCTTCAGGCGTTGCTTTCTCTCTTCATCCTGATTCGATCAATAAAGCTTTGCATAACTAGGATATAAACAATAGGAAACAAAGGCGGCCAGTGTAATAAGACTGCCGGGCTATTAATTCTTGCTAAAACGTGTAACCTAAATCTGCTGTCAGTTTGCTTGGTCTCGTGACAGTCGCCCCCTCCCTCCGCTTCCCCAGCAGAGAGAAACGTGACTGGAATTTAGGGGCTCATCTGGAAAGTATGTCTCTTAGGTAACTGGCCTTTTGAGTTACAGATTCCAGTCATTTCAGTGATGGGCATTTTTTCAGGTCAATTATTTACTATCTGGTGCATCCGGTGAATTTTGGCGGAGCTGCCTGAGAAAAGAAAAAAGCACTTGGCCTGGCACACTGTGGGTGTTTTTTTGCAATGCATATTAATACTTTGTTCATTCAATAACCATTTGATGTTGGTTTTACATTGATAAGAGACAAGGAAGATAATGAAATGTACATCAATGTGCTATGCAAAAACAATGCAATTACGTTTCTGGGTTTAACTAGTACAGGCTTAAATTGGCAGTACTATATAAATACACGCATATTCCAGACTGTATCATTGTGATTTACTGTTTGAAAAACATGCATCTGTAGAAAATACAGTGACTTTTAGTGTTTCTTTGTACTTTACCATTGTTTTAAGGGCTTTTAAAATAATATAATTTTAGAAAAACAATCATGTAAAAAGTACCAAGTTTTTCTGTATTAACAGTAATTTCATGTTTTGTAATTTACAGTTTTTTACCACCACTCTTTTGCATTTTACAGTGAAAAGTATGGGCATTTTTTTTTACAGTGTAGCATGTTATATAAAATTTAATTATATTTATATATTTTGCAGAAGTAATCTTAAAATATGTTCACCTAATTGTTTACGAAAGCTTTAACATCTTTTAAACATTCTTTACATGCCATAAAATTGCTTTTAATCGTACTTATTTTGTATATTAAACATGTAGAAACGTAATTACTTATTTATTTTTTATTTATTTAATTATTATTAGTCATGTAGAAATGTATTTACTTATTTATTTAATTAGTATTATTCATATAGAAACATATTCAGTTATTTAATTTGTTTGTTTAAATCTTTTTATCCATGTAAAAACATATTTACTTATTTAATTTTGTTTATTTAATTTTTTATTAATGTAGAAGCTTACTTAATTAGTATTATTCACGTAGAAACATATTTACTTTTAATTAATTTTAATTATTCATGTAGAAACCGTATTTATTTGTTTTTTATTATTATTATTATTCATGTAGAAATGTATTTACTTTATTTTATTTGTTTAGTTATTATTATTAATGTAGAAACGTATTTACTTATTACATTTTGTATATTTAATAATAATAATTTAAATGTACTTATTTATTTTTTATTTAATTAATTTCTATAATTCTTGTAGAACCTTTATTTACTTTTTTATTTAATTATTATTATTCGTGTAGAAATGTACTTACTTATTTATTTAATTAGTATTGTTCATGTAGAAACATATTACTTATTTATTTATCTATTATTCATGTAGATATGTATTTACTTATTTAATTAGTTTTATTCATGCAGTATTCATTATTTTTTAAATTATTTAAATATTATTATTATTAATATAGAAAAGTATTTACTTATTTTTATTTTTCATGTAGAAACTGTATTTAGTTTTTATTTAAATAATATACATGTAGAAATGTATTTAGTTTATTTTTTTATTCATTTCATTATTTTTATAAGTGTAAAAGCATTTACTTATTTTTATTTAATATTAATATTCAAGTAGAAACTTATTTACTTATTTTTATTTATTACTTTTTATTATTCATGTAGAAATATATTTACTTATTTTGATTTATTACATTTTTAATCTTCGTGTAGAAATGTATTTACTTATTTATTTTTATCTATTTATTTTTTATTATTTATGTAGAAATTTATTTATTTTTTTCTGTTTAATTTGTATTATTCATGTAGAAAATATTGCATTATCAACATGTTTTAAAGATATATGTTTTATTATTTAATGTTATTTTACATTTAACTATACCTATTAAAAGCACAATGGTATTAATCTCTTATATTTTAAAAGCATGAAGTAAAAAAAACTGTTAGTTCTTTTTGCAAAATCTTTAAAATTAACTATTATTTCAGTTGATATTTTCAAAAATAATTAAATCTCTTAAATAGTGTTTCAGTACATGCTTTGATTTCTTGACTTGAATACATTTATTAGGAGTTCTTTTATGCGCTCTAATGTGGACTATGAAGGCTGTAAAGTTAAAGGAAAAGTATTGATCAAAAGTAGGTCAGCACAACTTGGGTGCACTGCAGTGCTTTTGCACTTTTAACAACACTTAAACTGACCACTACCTGTCTATAGTAGGATTATATGTAGATGAAATGTGTTGCTTTAGTTGAGTGTTTGCTATATTAATATTCTTCTTTTATTAAAGCATTGCATGCACATCATTTTATTGTTAAGTTTATGCACTAAGCAAAAATTTTACAAGCAGAATAACGCATTCAAGCTTTAGTGAGTCATTTTTTTGTTTGTCACGAATGCTCTTGAAAGTATTGCGTATGCATTTTAGTATCCTGCTTATTTGAAAAGATGGCTGTGATTTGAATGTGCTATTTTTATGAAGCTGAGAGTCCTGTTCAAGGTCGCATTCTTAAGCACCTCTTTATTGTTTTTAAATTGGGTAATGATGGCTAAAGAAGGTGCTATTTTGCTATCAGTCTAAAAAAATCTGATCCTCAAATTACAATGCTGCATAAGTTTTACAGCTTGACCTGACTTTTCTTCCTGTCAAAGAGACGGTTTCCTGTTGCCTTCTAGTCTAGACATTAGAGAACCATGTGATCTTTTTTTCTTCTGTTTTTTTTATATGTTTTTTGGATTATGCTATTTAATTAAGCATTTGGTTTTCAGAGGAAATATTAGGATGCATGCACCATAAAAATGTGATGTTGTGTATATGCGATTAGTTCTGTTTAAACTATATTGGTGTTTCACAATTTTGTGATTTTATTTATGTAAAGAGATGCATGGTAAGCTTTGATATTTGCGTGAAGTAGTGTTAGCATCAAGCTCAGA